TCAAAACAGAATCGTCCTTGCTCCTTCGCTATCGCTCCGTATTACGGGTTCGTATCCAGTAACTTTATGGTACATGTTTGGGTCTTAAAGGAAGCATGGCAATAGTCGACTTACCGAGCGCCGCGATGAATCCATTAACTGTTAGTGAGTCGGGGCCAAGCGCAATGCGCAGGCAGATGCAAATAATGATCAGCAGGGAGCTGAGAACCTCAATCCACACGAGAGGAAGCGAGAAAAAGAAACGCGCCAGGTAGCGGCCGTACCTGCACCACAGGCGGAACACCTAAAAGGCAAAATTATTAAAAGGCCTGCTAAGAGACAGCGAAAAGGCCGCCAACGTCAAGTGGCAAGATCCAAGACAAATAAACAGTGGATGCGTTATCTCATTAAATATGAAGAGAACTTCTCAAATTTACTTTCCACTAGAAAAGACTGCTTAGCTGGGACTGAAGTAGTCGTTTTCGTTTAGAATACTAATAATTTATTTAAGTCACGTAAAGATGCCGGCTTTTAAGCAACCTTTCTTTCGGCTGCCTTCTCAGACTACATTCTGAGAAAAAAAGACTAATAAAGTAATAAGCATTTTTGCATTGCTTTTCACACATAAAAACATTTTTTTCATTTAAACATTGGGCAGCAAAGTGTGTCTTCCTCGAATTCAATGCTCGAAATAGGGGTATCTTTTGGTTTTAAAAACATTCAAATTCCTTAAACTGCTGTTGAATCTGCATTGGGGGTTTCCAAATTAAAAGCAGTCTCTGTTCAGTAGATGGCAATTTTGCATGCATATACACTGAAGATAGATCACACAGTATTCTTCACAAACAGCATTAGTAAATGAAAAGATACCATGCTTTGTGAATGAAAATGTCCTGGTCTTAAAAAATTTCATAAGAGTAAACATTTACAGACCGAAACAGACCTAAACTGCTGCTGCTGCCCAGTGAGTATACGAATGCACATTTTTGTGCCTGTCTTTATGAGATATATTGGGATTTATGTGGGCATTGATAATCCATGGGAAAATGCATACTACTTGCGTACTCATTTTACAGAGTGCTGGTGCCTTAGGTGGCCAGAAAGTAGCTTACTCAAAAGCCGGCATCCTGGTGCGACTTAAATTGTACTTGGATTATGCCCTGCACTATTTAATCATATAACCCTACTTAAGTAATATTTGCCTAAATAAAAGACTCCAGAATTTTGATTAATATTTCATAAGTCGGCGCACCTACTTAAAATGTTACCTTTCTGCTAAAAGTCGGAGGAATAGGCACTGCGGCTAGGGTGCCGTTTTTTTTCCATTTTTCGAATTAAAAGAATGATTCTTTTCAACAGTTAGAACATGAACCACGTCTTCACCATAACGCTAGTTTGTATTTATTGCTTGGTTGCAGTAAAAATCTCCGAGACCTGTGACGCTTTGGTAAGAAGAGCTCTGACACCTTGAAAAGAAGCTGTTGATCTTAAGTTCCCACTTCACTTATTTACAGAAGTGATTATTCAAGTCTTATTCATCCTACTATCTTTAGTATATGGCTTCAAGACGGTAAGCTGAACCGGATTTCCTCCTTGATGTCTATGAAGTCATGTTGAGGATGTTGAGAACAAAGTCTAATTAATGGCGCAATTTGTGGCATTTTAAAGAAGAATACACAAAGTTCTGCACAAATCGATGATTTATTTATTCTAAAAACAATATTATATCAAGCTGAGAGTGCATTACGAACATCCGAGAAGATTTTAATCGGAAACTTTTTTGACATTTCGAATCAATAGCAAACGTTGCATGACACTGACAATTTTGTTTGAAAAATGTTTAGTAATGTTTAACTACAGAGGACTGGCAGTTAACTTAAGCAAAACTAAAACTTACTAGCATTAAATCGTCGAAACTCAGAGCAACCAAGAGAACGTATAAAATGACTTCATAAATGCTGAAAGGCGCGGGACCGATATGGTAAATGGCGGTATATGTAGCATAAATTGTCAAAGCCATGTACGACAGCTAAAAAGAAACACGGAAATAATATTTTATAGGATATGTGGATTGTGAGAAAGGAAATATGACGCAAAATATCCTATGAAGTGAATATTGCTTAGTTCTTGATCGCTTCTTGTTCGTATCCTACAAGTCTGGACTTTTCACTTCCCACCTAACAATTACTTCATAGATACCTCCAGCCTAGGAATTAGCTAAAAGTCCAGATAGGCTTTTTATTAATTCTCTACAGTTGTATGCCAAAACTGTGAGACTTTCCGTCCAGCCGTGAATCTTCAAACGCTAATTTTGTGGTTTCTGTTAGGAATTACGATTGTCCAGAAGTAGAAGATGCGATTGCTGAAACAAGAAGTTTATTTGCTTGACGTTTCGGATTCTGTTGAGAACCTTCCATCAGAATCCGAAACGTCAGGCAAATAAACTTCTTGTTCCGGCAATCGCTCTTCTACTTCTGAACTGCTTCCTGGAACTCGCATATTCACTTGTTTTGGTTTGAACTTAACGCCTGAAGCTCTCTGGGGAACCAACTTCCAAAAACCACGTCATACAGTTGCAATAATTGCTCTGGTAAGGGTCATTTAAGAAACGAAAATGATGCTGCCCCCTTCGGCTTCACAACTACTCAAGCACCTTTTTCAGTGCCCGCCACAAGCTCTTGCTGATACGGCCACACCTGATCTAGCAGTGAGGCGGTGGGGTGTGCGCTCTGACCGTAGCATGAGGGTTCTAAAATCATCCCAACTTACCTTAGGTCGTTCAACAATGAACAGTATGAACAAGCTTTTAAAAAGCCTTGAGAGCTGTTCAAGTTCTACTCTACGGGTGCTAACAAAAATAAATTAAGAGTCCATTTCCCTCCAGCTCCCTTCGTAAAACTGACTTAAGATGGGCAAGCCTCGCACAACACCCACAGTTTCGGAAGTCAATTCAACAAACCTATGTTTTCAGTAGTTCATCGTCGGCCCTACACAATTCCGCCGACAATTAATATATGAGGGTTGGATAGGGTTCATAAGTATATGTAATGTATATACTCATGTAATTGTATAGGCCCGATAATGGATTATTGCAAATACATGGTTGCCGAATCGACTCTTCTACTGAATACAGGAATATTCGTAGAACCTATAACTGTATTGTCTTTTGTTTCCGGGGGTGAGCTGCATGCAACTGGAAAACTTCTGGTGACTTCTATGTCCACCGATATTGATTTACTGTTTTTCCCACTTTTGGTTAAATTTAGGTAGTTTATTTGGAAAAGGCGCATATATTTACGACTAATTAACTACCTAGGAGGGGTCTGTAGACTAATACGACATGAAATTGCTAAAGTATTTTAGTCATCCCGTCTCCAGAACGTATTTTCATTTTGTGGCTTCCTTTACATCCAGTTTTTAAACCCCTTAATAAAATAAAACTTCAACGTCTGTAAGGAACGCGCAGCGCTCTCTACTAGCATCCACATATTCTCCAGAGTATGCTCAATTTCCAGTGACAAACTGTGGGATTTATTTTGGCTATTTATCTTACAAGCAAAAGGAATTTCCGAAGCAAGTTTTTTTTAGAAAAACGGCAGCATGGCTTAAAACTTAAGAAGTCCGGTCTTTAGTGTCTATAGAAGATGAGGACGCGCGACACCGAAGCGACGTATTTTATCAAATTCCCGAAGGTAGGTGTCTACAAAACACCTGTGAGTCCATACGAGGAATAATCTACTCTGTACATCGTACCGTTTCTTCGGTTGTGTTTTTGAACTCTGCATTGAAATGGGGCTTTAGCAACTAAACTTACTAGATTAAGATTGTATTTGGCTCTGGGTGATGAATATACTTGCTCGAGCTTCTTCAAGGGGGATGCTTCCTTAACAATGACCTCTGCTGGGTCCAAGGGCTCCTTTGAATCCGATGTTGTTTGTTGGTCCATAGAGGAGCTTCCAGTTTGCTCCTCAAACCTGAACAGTGATTTCACAAACAAAAGAGGCGGAAATAAAAGACCCATAGGGAAGATGAAGGGTGACGCGTCCAAGCCATTAGTCCATTCCGAGTGCACGTAATCCTGCATCTCCAAGACTCCAAGAAAACGTCTACAGCCGCCAATCAATCCTAGCCAACCCACACCTTTGCAGTTCCATGTGGGTTTCTTAAAGAAGGGGAGTGTGTCTTTGATGTCCTAAAGCAAAACACGGTGGTTATGATGGCAAGTGACATTGTTAATGACTGTTTGAACGTTCAGGAAGTACATCTGTACCACTAAAAAACCTCAAAAATGGTGCACGCTGGAAAGTATTGCCGGCAAAGACATGAGGAGACTGGAAGGGCTATTTCCGGCTTATTAGCAGTTGTCTGTTAGTCATACCCAACCTGAAGTGGTACACCCACCCGGGGCTCGAACTCGCGCACTTTTGATCAGAAGTCTAACGTTCTAACCATCAACCCACGAGTTCGTTGTCTTACCGGTTAATATCGGGGAGATATTTACACTCGTTGATGAACTTTCACCGATCGCTAACAGAACTCGGCAACAGTAGCTTATGTAGCCCCACTCATTAATCCCTACAACCTGC